TGAGTGCTGCTCTTACCATGTTGCTCAATGGTTATAGGTCAGACGAACTCAGTCTTCTGGTCTTCCAGACTGCTGGAGTGTTGAACTGAACAGGCCTCCATTTCGGTAAACGAATCGTTGCCATATCCGCTGCCTTGTGTACAGGCTTTTTAGCCAAAGGCTTTGGTTGAGGAACTTATTCCTTTTGTCTAGGTCTGGTCAGCTCACGTACAACCGTGATTTTTTCAATTTCAACCTCATTTTGCATCAGCCATCGTACAGCTTATCAAGGGTCGCCTTACCTGCTGCATCCAGCAGCGCGGATAAGCAAAAACATGCTGTTGCTGCTGCTGCCTCCTTTCTTTCCTTTCCACCTCTTTCACTTCCATCCCAACCTCAATTACTAAACTTTATTCCGTAATTTCCAGCTTAATTGGTAGCAGTCGAAATGCCACTGCAGTTCTACCATCCACAGTTACCTTCCCGCATTAGCCACTAGATATCAATCGCAACAGCTCCTTATAAGCCCACACTCGTTTCCCTTGCAACGTCCAACTTTCACACTCTAGGACAGATTGCTCAACCGTCTGCGCTCGCACGCACGTTGTACACCCTGGTCATTGGCGTGTATTGTCTGTCCGAACCTGGGATCAATAAGCCACACAGTTGTTGAATTAACTGCACCCGGTTTCTCCTCTCGCTTTTGGGTGCACTGATCCGGACAAGCTGACGCGGCAACCACTGACCAAGCTAGCGTAAGGCATTGTTCTGAACTCCGAAGCTGAGTCATCCTTGGTTGATTGAATTCTTGTGAGCAGCCGTTTATATACAGCGCGTTTGACCACATTGACTGAGGTTGATTCAAGAAGTAGCACTTGACGTTTTTTCTTGATGGTTTACACTTATACCCCACCGACTGCGATCCTGATGCTGCCAAAGTCTCCTTCAACCACGAACTGAATACTCTATTACGTAGTGCTACAGGTTCAGATATCACAGTCCTTGCATGGTATATGAATGCGCAAAGAGGTCGTCAGCTCTTCAGAAGCTCAGCTAGGTGGTTAGTGTGGACTTGACTCCGACCGTACGGACAACGGCGAGCGTCTGTTGCAACTGTGCGCGAAACACCAGCTGTTTCTTAGTATCACCCCTTTTAGACAGTAGGCGCCGAAGTACCATTTGGCATCCACCAATAGCTAGCCAGCGGTGTACCAAAGTTGGTCAAATTGCCATAAGTTACAGATAACGTGGTTCCATCCTGGATTGCCACTGGTTCTGGAATATCTGCACCGACTCTGATCATGTCTTGGTACGAGGTCTTTTCCAATGGGCGTTACCGGGAGGCGTACCGAGCGTCTCCCTCGATTGACAACTGAGTGGTTATCTCACTACTCGTTCAGGCAGGCCTTCCAAGATATCCTGCGTAAGGAACTTTCGCTCTCTCCTTCTAATAACACTGTTGGCCGGTGGCCGAGTGGTCTGCACACCTGGTTTGAAATCATAAGGTCACCCCTTCGAATCCGCATAAGGGCGGGCGTCCTCGCGGTATACTCAGCCCACGCGCGACCGTTGGTTGTCGCGCGACAGGGAAGCGCCGTTACGGCATAAAGCTGGCATTATTTCTTATTATTAATGACACTGCGCTCCAGTGGAATAGGATCTCGTCCGCCCGGCACGACACAGGAACATCTGCTTGTGGTACTATCAGTCATCAATGCACCAGTGACTGGATATCTGAAAAGTTGGTGAACTTATTGGAATCCAGCAGAAAACTAGCTCTGCGCGCAATGTAACTAGGCAGACTATTAGACGCGAACACAAGCGGGGGCTGCATACTGACATGCTAAACTAGTACGACTCAAGAAACTGAGGGAACAGGAGCAGTAGACAATTATCGCAAGCTCTTCCAACTGATCAGTACCACTGGTCCAAGGGGACCAGACATTAGTGAGACAATCAGAGACAGCGATGGTGCCACTATTCACAATCAAACGCGCCGTATGGTTTGTTGGGCGGAGCACTTTCTTGATAGGTTCAGTTGGTTCCCTGCTCCTAGACCTCTTCGTATTCAGGTGTTACAGACTAACCCATAACCGGTTAGTTTGGAGGCTCCGTCTGAGGCTTAGTCTGAAACGCGATCACAGCTATCAATCGTTCTCGTGCTACTGGCCCGGATTCACTCCCACCTGCACTATGTAAGGATGTAGGTGAGGTCCTCTGACCACCTAGTTCGAACAGAGTATGTAGGGGGTATCGACTGTACATCGGTACGTAGTACCGACGCTTCGCTGTCGCGCAACCGCCAACAGTCGCGCGTGGGCTAAAGATACTGTGAGGGTCAGTCGTTCCTTACACAGGCTCGAACCCGAGCCCTCGGATCACAAGGCAGGCTTGGGCTGCGGGCCAGCCCTGTTCGAACAGGTCTGAAAGGAAGAGGCCAACACAGCTATTATATTTATTATTATTATTATTATTATTATTATACACATTGGCTAGAGGTTGGAAATACCTCAGCTACTGTGCTGCAATACATTAAAAAGGAAAAAGTGCAACAGATGCATGCCAGCTGAGCTAGCAGTAACGGATGGACATCGTTCGGGAAAGCTACCGGCTGGCTACTATGCGGTAAAAAAGAAAATGTGTTATGAAAAATTATATTAGGCTAGGAAGTGAGATCATGCTTCTAGGGGAAGACTAAGAGAGATGGGGTGGCAATGAGGCTGGACCTTACCGTAGTGTGAAGGTTTGCATGCCTCAGATATCCTTTGAGCTATTCTGGGTGGTGCATTTTTGCACCTTCAGAACCACTCATACCAGATTGGTCAATGGTTAGAGGCCAGAGAAACAGCCTCATGGTCCTCCAATTTGTGGGTTGGAATGAGGGTGGCTGCTTATTCCTTAAAACGGACTCCTTGTAGCCTAACGCCAAACCTGCTGCCTTGCGGGAGGCTTTTGAAGCAAAAGTTTTGGTTGAGAACCCTAATCGCTCTGTCTAAGCATCTGCAACCTGAAAGGATCATAACCATGCAATACAATCTATTTCCAAACGGTTTCTTTATCCCGGCACCACAGGTAATTGTGGTGAATCGATTATAGTGGCAATGTACAACAAGCGCAGTTCACTGACTGTGCTAACCAGAGAGATATTAATCTAATGCCAGTCATGAGAAATCTACTGGCGTCAATTCTTCTTCGTGGCTTCATTGTTGAACGGGAATTCCGGATTAGGGGAGAGTAAACAGACTTCTTCCCTGGACGGGGCTGTATAGACCACATATTCACTCTACGGCAGAAGCTAGACCAGCTCCACGCATACCGCAGAAGGACCATTACTGTGTTCCTTGGTTTCAAGAGTGCGTTCGATTCATCCGCTCGTTACACTGTGCGAAATGCTTGCACGAAAAGGTGTTCCCATGAAATATGTGAACATTTTACTTGATCTATACCCGCGTCTGGATCTACAGTGAGTTATCAGATCCGGATCGCCAGCTGTACGCCGTAACAACGCTTCGCTGCTGCGCGATCACCACCAGTCGTGCGTGGGCTAAATATACCGCGAGGACGCCCACCCCCACACTGATTCGAACCGGTGACCTTATAGTTGTAATCCAGGCGTGCAGACCACCCGGCCACCGGCTGACAACAAGTGGCGTTTGTCAGGATTGTCTAATTTCCCCATTTTTGTTTGATTCCGTTGTAGACTGCTTCACAGAGTGTTCTCTTGCGGAATCTCGCGATGTAGACTTTGAGGTGTTTCCTGTTGAGAAATTAGTTGATTTTGGTTATGCTGACGATATTGTCTTTCTTTTCCTCGATGTTGGGGCGGCCAATCAGCCTTTAATATCCTCTCCAGAGTAATCTCACCATTTGCCATGCGCTTCTCACCTTGAAAGCGCAGTGTTGCTGCAGGACTACCAGCCACTTGATGACACTTGACCTTTGATAGCGCGGAACTGGGCGTAGTTGCTCAATTCAATTGCCTCGGCAGCTGCATCAGCAAAGATAGGCGCATGGAAACCGAAGTAAATTCATACATTGTAAAAGTTAGAACTGCCTTCTTGAATCTGTGACATTCATGCCGCCAGTATTGGGTTCCCTCGGTCTGAAAGGCCTTGTTTACAAGGGTACGGCGTATGCCGTCTGATTCTATAGGAGTGAGAACTGGCCTATTCGATCGGATGATCTGCGACGCCATACATTTTTTGGTCATCGTATCTTGCGAGGCATTGCTAGTATCGGGTGGCAACAGCGTGTCCGCAGCGATGATTTGCGTGGGTGAATGCTAGGCGATGGTAAACATGCTAGTTCCTTAGAGCAGCGTATAGCACTGAATCAGTTGCGTTCCATTGGGTACGTACTACGTATGCCTGGTAACCGCTTACCTAGGTGGGCGTTGTTTTATTTGTAAAATGTAGGATGGCACAAGGTCCGAGGTGGGCAAAGTTGAACTTGGCATCGAGAACTCTAGTCACTGACGACCACACTCGGTGCTGTTAGTCCGTCTCGCCTTCCAGACTTCAGTACATGTGACCCATCTTATGCTTTGCTCGAGACGTTACAGTACCTGTCTCGCAGTCGGCACCAGTGGCGTGTTTGCTGACATTTTGTAGTCGGACTACCTGCTTAAACTGTATTTGGTGCTTAATTATTTGCGGCGTAATGGCTGATTATGACGCGGGGCAGTGAAAGCCGCAAGGAAGCTGTTTCATTGATGCCCCCTTTGTACGATAATCAGCTATCTGTGATGGTACGTTGTTGACAGTGTGTAGGCGCCTTGACCTTGAACGTTCATAGCACTATTTTATTCCAGGTCCCCCTTCTCTCCCTCTTATTATTCTTCGTTCCATACGCCACCATGATTGTATGGCAGCGAAGCATCAGTTCAGATGGCTAATGTAGTACTGTTGATAGCGATGATGAGGCTTCTTTCCAACTATGAACACTGAGGATACAAACGTATTAGCTTTAATTGGTTATTTATTACGTAGCGCTAAACCAGTTTATCTTTCTTCGCCACCAAGGTTATCATTGAGAAGTCGCCACGTGCCCGTGTCGGAGACCTTGACAAAAATAAATACCTCGTTCCTTCCGACCTTACCGTTGGGCAGTTCTATTTCCTCATCCGCAAGCGAATTTCATTGAAACCGGAAGAAACACTCTTCTTCTTCGTGGACAACACCATCCCACCAACCAGCGCCACGATGGGAACGTTGTATGACGTGAGTTTCAATCCTAACCCTTCCTTCATTTTGAATTACCTCATTCGATACATGCAGTTGATTACATCTCACTTCTCACTCATATTTGAGTGGGCGGGGTTGTGCCTCTCATAAGTAGCTCTACTAGCGTTAATCACGCATGAAGTTTAATTTGCCTGCACCTGTGCACTCTTATCGGTAATGGAACAGTAGATTAGCGTGGCGGCTCCCTTATCATAGCGGCAGTGATCGGCTGACCGAACTTTCTATTTTCAGTGGATTGAGTTCGCGCCTCACTTCAAACAAAGCGGACACTCCAAAGCACGATGAAAATGTGCCGATATTTTGCACGAGGCAAATGGCCGAAAGGATGAGGCGTCTGCTTTGGAATCTAAAGGTCGCCAGCTGGAGTTTACGCAGGTGCGGACGACCTCGCAGTAGTACAACTAGCCCGCGCGCAACTGTTGCGGGTCACGTGACAGTGAAGCGTCAGCACGGCATCCTGGCTTACTGCTGATTCCTTTTTAACATAACATGGAATCGATGGAATTCGAAACCGTAGCGCTGAGCTGCTGAGCAATGAGAACGTTTTTAGCACGAATTTAAATAAGATCTTTGTGGTAAAAGTTCGTAGTACGTATTAAGTCACCAGAGGGCGGCACACCTCAGTGACCGTGTGTTGATGGCCTTACAAGCCCCCCTCCCAACGTGCCGGACATCCACTCCTATTACTTGCGTTCGTAACGTGCAGCTCCGACGTCGTTCCTATCTTACGTTTTCCCAGTTCCCTGGACAGCTTTTCAGTTCACAGTCTCGCATGGTCTGGGCCCAATTTCTCTTGCACGGTACCGGAATAAGGTCTTTTTTGTGGCTTTTCAGTCCTCCGGAACCATGTTTCGTAACCACTGAAATTGCCGCAAACAAGTGCTCCGATGCGATGCATGGCAACTGTATTCATGTCGTACACCTGTTCAGGCATGCATAAACGTAGGACAAGACGGTTTATCGACTACTAAACGGGAGTCATTTATCCCATCTCCCGTTAACGTCCAAATGAGATCGGTAATGGACTACGGCACAATTGGAACCAATGTATCATCAAATGAGCGGTAATCAACTATGATCAGTGTCACTTTTACTGAACGCAGAAAGAAGACATAAGTCGCGAAATGTTAACATTTCAATTACTCCCATCAGTTGCGAGAGCAATACAATTAGGAATCAACAGAAGTGAACATGTGGGACTCAAATTGAAACGAAATGATCATTCAAAAGCAAGGCAATCTAACAGATTGGTTCAGTTGCTTCTGTGTACACAAAACCGGGCGATACTTCGAGATACGCAAAGCCTCAGTGATAGCCAGTCTTTCTGGTTTCTGATCACGCACCAGTATTTTGAACGCGGTCGACTGGTCCACATGATGACGAGTCATTACGAGATGCCTCGCAATGGACGAGGTAGGACTGCTGTTCATTGCTTTATCCGCACTAGTTTGTTGCACCAACGCTTGCCGTACTCAAGTTGGTAGGTGTTCCGCCATCCTAAGGGTCAATCTCGGTCAGTGCTGCCTATATAAACGTCACTGCAACTGCAGGTGAACTGGTAGACTACATGTGAGGCCGCATTGCCTGACAGACCTTTCGCATAGTCGTTGAGAATCAGTGTTCGCATGCCGTGAAGCAGTCGCAACTGGGCGATGGTGTAGGTACGCGAGCGCGCAGACCTGATCTTATGCCTGATGTCTTTGGCTAAGTGATCTTTCAATGGTAGCAACAAGTAAACATTCTTCTTATCTGCCGTTTGAACTGTTGGTTTCTCTCTGGGCGGTCGGCTATGAACCTAGATGAACCTGTCCGGGGACCCATTCGACAATAGAGTTATGTAAAAACTCCTCTTCGGCCATAAACGTGTCTTGTGCAAATTTGCCTGGCTCTGTAGACCAGACCGCGTTTGTATGCAACTGGAGCGAAGCTAGGGAAGTGCAGATACTGCCCACTCCAGTCGCTTTTCGAAAGACTGCGCTGAAGTGTGCCATCTGTCCGCCTCCTACTGTGAGCAGTTGAAATGTTAACATTTCGCGACTTATGTCTTCTTTTTGCTCTCAGTAAATGAATTAAGGAGACGCATTGTTTCAATGTCAGTTTGTTAGTTATGGCAGTGTGGCAAAATCGTCAACTACTGAACTACATCAAGTGGCTTACCAGTGTTCACTGTGTCTGAAAGACCGCGCTGTCTAGTAACAGCCGATGATCGACGCTCATTTGCAAAATACAGCCACCACTCTCCGCGTCATTGGAATTGGACAAAAATACTTTAGCCATGCATACATCGTAATGGTATTTGCGCTGATAACCGCGTAGTGTTGTAATAACTTCGTGATAACGAGTGCAGCTCGAAGCATCAGGACTGCGATTGCTTGGGATACATGCAGTGGCCACAAACAACCGGTGTGAACCGATCGGTAAATGTGGTTGACATGATCACACGAGTTGCTGGATTGTGTAGTTAGAATTGTATCTTTGTGCGATTTTAGTTCCTCACAGATCCACTACGCTCTGCTGAGTGGTGTTTTGCATTTTAAGTCACTGATACCAGACTGATCAATGGTTAGACGCCACACAAACTCGGTATCCTTGTGCTCCAGGTTGACGGTTGGAGTGAGGGTGGGCCCCACGTTCCGCCGAAATCCCGCTGCCCTACGATCACACCTTTTGAACCAAGGGCTTTGGTTGAGAACCCCACTCATTCTTCTCTTTAGACCTGGGCAACTTGGCTACACCCCCACTCACGTATCGTTGCCGAAGTTGTCAGAAATCAATCGAATAACTACTGACTGCTATCATTACGGGAGCATACACCGGGCTGGCTGTCAAGATGCAGTTCATCAATGAACGATTTTCGATCTTAGACGTTTAGGTCACCAAGCAGCATTACAGTATCCGAACTTTGCTGTGACGAAGGCGCTCGCTCAGTTGACGATAGAGTTCGTCTTCCACCGAATGTGAATTATAAAGCCCATCATATTGACAAACATAGAGAAGTTAGTTGCCTTCGACCATCGCTGACTTCGCAGTTTAGCTCATGTATGGGGGGAACAAGGCGTTAGCAATGAACGTGTTCGACGTCTCGTACTTGGTGCAGGAAGAGCGGGTGAACCGCTCAGCACTCTTATATCAGGCAGCAGGCTCCGATGGCTGGGCCACGTGCTACGAATGCCAGCACAACAAATCCCGCGACGTGCGTTGTTTGCTTGATCAGGGTGTGGATGGAAGAGGAGGGAAGGCCAAACCATGACTTGGTGTCGGTTGGTGTCTCCGTACTGCGAGGCTGAGTTCCCGAGAATCATAAACACGTTTGGTTGGATACGCTAGTTGACATGGCGAAGAGCTGACCTCAGTGGCGCTTGTGTTGTGAGTTTCTTTGTCCCCTCTTCCCGCTTCTCTTTCTCCTTCAACCACGTTTTCACACTGAATGGACATTATGACACTTGGCATTAACTTACTTGCCTTCAGTTTTTGTATTCCGTAATTTTTATTATATCTTTTCATGTATCTTTTTTGTATTGCAACACAGTTAGCTACGGTGATTTCCTCATCTTCAGTTAATGTTTAGTAAAACACAGTGTTGCAAAGAGATCTCTTTTCGGCAGTTCACATCAGGCAAATACAACTACAGGACTGAAAAATGCATTAGTAAACTGGTGTAAGCAACAATGAGGACGGATGGGACGATTTGAACAGTTTTAGCATGTTCATTTGATGCTCGAATCGATTTAATCAGGTGACATCGTGATCGGGCTAACCGATAGCTAAATAACTTGTGTAAACAGAAAAGGCAAAATTACTAACCAACTAAAATTAGTTAATTACGCAAATAAATAGCACCCGGTTAAGCGAGATACTCCGGGGAACCTTATCATCAGGGTCATGGCAAAGTCAAGGGTTGCACAAGCACCCTATGCTTGCATAGCTCTGGTTGTGTTAGTCAGATCGCGATGGCTTCGGCTGTCTGCAGGAGGCGTTTCCTTAGCCCTTTCGGGTATCGCCTCGGTACGGCGTAATAGACTTTGAAAGCATCTTTTGTCAAAATCTGATGCCCACTAAGAATCAGATGTTCCATAATCGAGCTGTTGATACTTCTGTGCATGCCTCTCCGCAAGGACCCTGGACAATGTTCAGCCATTCGTACCCACAGACGCCTGGTCGTATGCCCGAGGTACTTTGCACCACAGGTGCAAGTAAACTGGTAAACAATGTAAGATTTGGACGACACTGGCAGTCTGTCTTTAACACGTTGAGCTATGAAGGGAGCGGTCTCTGCAACTACATGCGGTTGGGTGGCCGGGTAGGTTCTTGCTACGGCATTAGAAAGTCTTCTGTTCAGGAGATCGAAAGCGATATCTCCCTTAAAAGGAACAGTGAGAAACACATCCTTCTTCGGAACCGTTGCCTCATTTGATTCTTATTGGAGGTATATGGATGACACTTTCATCATCTGTGATTCACACATTGATGTCAACCATTTGCTCGATCAGTTCAACAGTGCACATCCCTTAATAAAATTCACTAGTGAAATGGAGAATGAAGGTAAGCTGGCTTTTCTGGACGTTTTGTTGAGGAGGCGCGAGGACGGATCACTGGAGCGTAGAGTCTTCCGCAAAGCTACATGGGTAGGACAGTACACACACTTTTCGAGCATTGTCCCTCTGAGGTACAAACGCAACTTAGTACGTTGCTTGAATTACCGGGCCACCAAAATTTGTAGTCCCGAAACTCTCGAGGATGAGAAGGACCGAATTGTGAAAACACTTCTTGCGAATGGATACCCAGAGCCTTTCATCAAAAAGCACGCCATGACCCGTGAGCGCGATAAGCCCGTAGCAACGGTTCCGAAGAAGGATGTGTTTCTCACTGTTCCTTTTAAGGGAGATATCGCTTTCGATCTCCTGAACAGAAGACTTTCTAATGCCGTAGCAAGAACCTACCCGGCCGCCCAACCGCACGTAGTTGCAGAGACCGCT